AGGGAATAAAATAAGGATTTTATTTTTAATTAACCCAAATAAGTAAAACGTGTAAGCCCAAAGTCATTATTTTTCAGATATATAAAACTAAAACGATGAGTTTAAAATGAGGAGCAGTAAAGCCTCTCCTCTAAAAAATTTTAAAAGGTACATGTTACAATAATATATCGATGTGAAAAAAATTTGTTTTATTTAAAACATTTTGGCATTTGGAACATAAAATAAAAGTAGCGAATACTCTATCAAGGGTATGGAAAGACGTATACAATTTTAAAGGTACCGTAAGGCATTTTTCATTTTTTAAGCATAACATTTTTGTTAAAATCTATATTTTTGTAGTTCAACAGCTTAGAATTTTATAAAACAAATTCATAATAAAAATCGCTGTTTTTAGTTATCGAAAAATAACCAAGATGTGATTTTTGCGTAAATGTCACTAAACTATACAAATCCATCACACTATGAATGTTTCTTTCACGCGAAAGTGTCCCTTTTTCGATTTGTATGGAACTGACGTGTGTCGAAATACTATCAAAACTCTGTCAAGCGAGCTTCTGAATGTAAACAAAGAACACCCCATTTGGTGACCGAAGCTTGGAAGCAGTGCTTTACTTCTAGTGCCGGTTGGCCACTCCTTCCTTTCTTACCTTCATGCTCGGACCCGTCTCCCCCCCCGGGATGTTCTCCATCAAAATTGGAGGACGGACTGAGCTAAATCGCACTGTCACCTGAATGGTGCTCAAGGCTGTTGCCAACGGCAGACGTAAACTAGTGCTCTTTGCCACGAGGAATTTCGTAGGTCAGCATAAGCAACAACAACACAATCAGTAGTTATATTTCGAACTACTAAGGACGTTAAACACAAGGTAATGCGAAACGCATCTAAAAGGCGAAGCTCACACGATCTCTCAATACTCCGCCGCCAAGAAATGTCTTGTACCTTCTCGATATTACTGGAAGGCATATATAATTCTATAATTGCATATATAATTTCACTAAAATTATCCACTTATATACTAAAATTATTTACATATATACAATCGTAACAATATTAAGATAGCATAAATAAAGTGTAAAGAACTGGATTTAGTTAACTCTCAAGAAAAGAGTGTGGAGGCGAAGATTGTGCGAATAATCTCTTGATCTATTTCTTACCTCTCTGTTGGCCGCAATGTATTTGCTAGAATTTTATACGATCATTATTTGTTTAAATTGAGAAAAAAAAAAAATGTAAGCCTGCGTTTTATTTATTCTGAATAAAATTTTACTTGTAACACAATTGTATTTGTTACAGAAATTAAATATAAAAATCAGCCGAACGTCAGATCTTGCAGCTAAAACAGAATTTATCAATAAATAAATACAAAGTCAGTTTAATCTGAATGTGTCAATTTACCATTGTTCGTAGACATAGTGGTGCTGTATTTGAAGCTTTGATTGGTCTGATAAGGTGTTCGTGTTTCATTCTGTGCGTTATCCAGTTTTATATCTGAAGGGTTTGCTGTCCTTTTAGTCGTTAGAAGATTAAACGAAAGAGAAAATCATGTACTTTGAGCCGAAATTTCTTCCCGCCACACAAAAGGGGAACAAAGTAGGTTGCAAGTAAATAAACGCTCTCCACTTAGCGAAGACCTCGCAATTTTGCCATCCTTATTCGAGAGGTTAACTTTTTAAAGTCAGATGTCTTTATTTGGTTTAAATTTAACGATCGTTTCCCAAAATTAGCATATTAATTAAGAGCATTAACTTCAACAGAGCAAACTACTTACGTTTTCTCCGTTCGATGATATTTTAAGCGAAATTACTCAGCATACAATCCAATTTATTTCGATTTGATCTTGTTTAAGAACTAAGTACTGAAACAAACTTGAATTGGAAAGACTAAAAATGTTGTTCTTTCTAATTTTGATTTTTAAAGAATTCCAGACAAATTAAGTTAAGGAAAACTCAAATGTGTTGATTTCTAAATAACTGCCTTCCTCAATAAGTAATTAAGTTTATTCAGCTAGCTTGATATTTCTGTCTTCGACATACTATTTAAAAAGCGGTTGCTTTTACTGTTAGCAGTGGAAGGTATAAAGTAATACACACAATAGACTCAATGTGAAGCTTGCAGACTATCCTGCAAGCTTGACATTGAGGGCCATCCAGGGCGGCTACAGTAGACATTCCATAGTCAGAGACATACCAATACTCTTAATTTCTATTCCTATAAATCTGAGGCTCAAGCTGCAATGGGTTGTTCTAGCCCATACGGGGAATAAAGGAAATGAAGCAGTAGATGTGATTCCGAAAAGCTCAGCTAACGAAACCCATGTAAGTAGCATTATTGTGTCCCTTCGCACTCATATCTGAAAACCACTCTAAAATGGGAATTAAAAAAAGGGCAAAACTACTCGGAGTCGAGCACCACAGGCAGAAGACTGTATAATTTTCATTCGAAAGTAAACCATAATTTAAATAGCAGCTCTTCGCACCTCACACAATATCTGACAGGGCGGCCCATATATGTCCTATCTTCACAGATTTGGCCTGAGACAGCGGCCAATGTATTTGTGGCAGTACCGATGACCCAGATAACTATTTGTATGATTGCCTACACACAGCGAAATCACATTTAAAAAGACCAGCTGCAATCAATATGCCGGCATGGTTTAAGAACTCAATTAAGAATAAATATACGCTCAGCCGCATTAAAGACTGCACTATCATTGCTAAAAGCATTGCTGACAGCCTGAGTGATTTCTTTCCTTGGAAACCGTGCAGTCAGCAGCCCGCGCTGTGCATATATTAATTTACCTAATGTCTTTTTTTGGGGGGAGGGGGTTGTTTTTAACTGTGTTTAATATTATGATTAATCCAGCACTCATTTAATGTATTTTATGATTTGCAATGTATTTATTCAGATTTCATCTTTACATCTGTACCTGTGTCTATACCATATTCTTAATTTAAGAAAGGAGAACTAAAAAAGACCTTTGTGGTCAAGAATTTTGCGCAACGAGCTGCAAAAATTAGAAAACAAGGTAAAAAGAAAATTCTTAATGCTTCCGCTTAAAAGTCGTTATGATACTGTGGTTCCGGTGAAAAAGTTTTTAACATAAGTTAAAATAAAGTGCAATGAAAAGTGTAAATACAAAGTAAACGAAATTATCACTAGAATACTTACAAATAAAAAACGCATTTAAAACTCAAATCAAATTGGAAGTAATATGTTGATTGAAGTTAATATTTAAACATTTGAATAAAAATACAATTGTTATATACAAAAATAAGCAAAAATACAAAAATAAGGAAAAAGCGGTAAATGGTAAATTAGCCCAATTCGAATCTCATAATTGACTCTTCAGTGGAAATACATAATGGTTTTCGAATCCAGCTAATTCCATATCGCGTTTCGTCAAAACAGAAAATTGAAACTGTACACGAAACTTTTTGAATATATAACTGATAAAATAACCTAAATAAAAACTTTAGTCTCAATTTCTCTGTTTCATTTCCCGGCGCGTCCGCTTGTAAAAGTAAATGAAAAACACATTAATGGTGTAAGAAAAAACTATACAAACTGGCCTGGTTAGGCAAATGTACAAAATAAAATAAATAGAGAATTGCTATTAGTTAAAAATACAAGATTTTTAGGGAGGACCTTCTAGTTTAAAGAGTTTAAACTTTGTAAACGAAGGAAAAAACTAAAAATTAAAATAAAAAGCGAATAAAATTGGGTCTTGCTATAACCAAATATTAAAGCAAGGAAAAAGAAATTTAAAAAAAAAAAAAAAAAAAAAAAAAAAAAAAGCAGACCCTGATTGACGACATCTATTGTGAAGAGCTAAGTTTACACAAATGGACGATGGCCTCCAGAAAAGATATCCCCACCATGCACCTTCTTTCCATGTTCTGGTCCTTCTTTCAATGTAACTCGTTTAGCGTGGCCAATGCCTGGAGGAAACAGTACTAAGCTCTTTATATTTTTTATTTATTTATTTATTTTTATTCCGTCGATGGGATCCAACAGGCTGAAGAGCACTTAACCCAGCCAGCTGTTCTGTCAATGGCAAAACGAAATAAACTATCACCATTAAATCATTTTAAATTAATTCAGGACAAATGATGCAGGAAATCATAGCAAACATATCCTGCAGAACGTCAGTTCTCATAACGTATGATGTTCTGCTTCTTCTAACAACTAATGCGAACATAAAGCATATAAGTTTATTTTCTCCCTCCTTTCTGCATACCTTCGTGGTGTAACGATAGCACACTCGGCACGTATTCGACATGTCCAAGTTCGAGTCCTGGCGAGGGCATTGCTCAGTTTTCATGTCTTCTGCTTCAAAAAGCCTAATAGTAACTCTACAATGGCGCCTGAACTAAAAAAGGTGGTGGATGATGATTCTTTACCACCAAAATTTGGTGACTAGGTCCCCTAATCCCTAGTCTTCCTTTAAAAAATGGTGTAGATAAGGAATTTTCTTCCTCTCTTTTGCATGCCTTCGTGGTGTAACGGTAGCGTACACGGTGCGTATTCGAGAGGACCAGGTTCGAGGCCTGATGAGGGCCTTGCACATTTTTCATGTTTCTTGCTAGTGACTGAACAAGCATTTTGCATTTGCAATATAAATCTTCATACAAAATATGTATATTTTTTAAAATTATTTACCTTTTTTTATTTGGTTATATTTTACGTATTTTCAAGCTAAAATCAAGCAATTTCATACAACTTTTGATTTTCAAGTAGGAATTTCTCAGAGAAGGTGCAAAAGAAATGCTTTTTTTTTTTTTTTTTTTTTTTTAATCAAAACAAAATGTTATCAAAACTTTATGAAAGGGAAACATTTTTGGAAATTCGAATGTTATATAATGACTCACTTTGCTTATATTATGTAGAATAGGCAGTATGATTTTGTACGTTTAAAATAATCATTTTTCTCCCTTTGTTCATTTGATACAGGTTTAATTTTAAATAGTTGGCAATTATTTTTTTTTCTTTCCTATTGTAGGCAGGATTAACAGCACTTTATAACGCTGGTATTAACATGAAGAAAATTCATTATTACAGTATTAATCTTTTTTCTCAATTAGAAGATGAAACTGGCCAAGTAAGTAGTTATTAATCTATGTTTATGCTAATGAATTCATAACATATGTAAAGAATGATCGAATTTTGATGCCAAGCTGCAATTTAATTTGTTCATAATTTAAATTATAAAGAATTACTTTCTTACTCCGTATGTGCTATCGTGCTCTAACATGTGTAGTAGGACGCTTGACCAGCAATCGCAAGATCTTTGGTTCAAATTCCGCTGAGAGAACAGCTGATCTGTAATGTTTCCCGACTCCGAAAGCCTAATATCTCTACAAAGTTGAGTATTGTTTTCTAAAATATCTGGAAAGGATATTCTGTAATTTTGATCTGTCTAAAATCTATAACATTGATAGCTCTACAATGCCTCGATAATTGTCTTTAAAACAATAGTAAAATTTATGATGTTGTAAGGTATATCCTAATTTTATAACAGTTATTTTTAAGTTTATAAACTTTCTTATCTCTTCTAGCTTTAGTTTACAATTCCTTACCAGAATGAGTTTTCAGAATCGCGTTAAATGCACATGAGAAGTAGCAAGTATTTAAGTCAATGTTCCACTGACTTCCAAGAGAGAGAATTAGGAGTCCTGAATAGCGCGCGTTTGCCTTGGTTACGTCTCTCTAACTGTAACTACATTCGGCCGTATTACGTGTCTTTTGATAGCTTCGCTGGTTAGTTTAATCTTACGGGCCAACTAGAATTAGTGTTAGCTTCGGCTAAATCTCTTTAGTTAGTTATTACATATTTCTTATTTCATACATTTTAAGTTAAGCCCAAGTGAAGGATTTGTTGTACGCCCTGAGAAAGGGGCCGTTTGTACATCTTTATTTGGAGCAAATAAAGGGTAATTAACACTTCTTGAGTTTACGTTTCTGTTCGTGGATTTAAGCGATTATTCGCTTGGTAGTTCACGAGGTTCCTCAGCACTTAGTTCAGTAGAATAAAAGGGAGGAACACTAGACTGTAATATGAGATTCTGGTAAATCATCAAGTGCCATAATTCCAACCAGGAAATTTAGAATGCATATAAGCGTTCTAAAACTAGTATTCTTTAAGTAGTTTACTTTTATTTTACAAAATAATGCATTTACTTCAGCTCAAATATTAGCTAATAAACTCAAAAATGTTAATCATGTAATGCTGCGAATTTCATGGAATTGCATGTTATGGACATGCATTATTATCAACTTTTTGGCTTTTTAACTTTTTTTTATTAAATATCACCATCTTCGCACCACATAAAATTCTGCAAAATCACAAAATATTTAAAAACAGCATATTTTTAGAATTCCCGATAGTGCTAAGTCTTACCATAATTTCTTATATTTGCTATATTATTTGTTTAAAAAATAATACATGGCGATCAACATCCTTTTATTTGCTTTTCGATACACTTTTTTATGTTCGCTATATTATATAATTTTTATTTTTTAAATTTTTCTTTAAATAATACATGGCGATAATATCTGAATTTGATAGCAATATCCTTTTATCTGAAAAGTTATACAAACAAAAAAAAAAAAAAAAAAAAGAGAGAGAGAGAGGATTAACACTAATAGTGCCTCTTGTGCTTAAAAAATTAATAAACAAAAACAAGGACTTGTCAGCGTTATGCATTCTTTTGTCTAGAAGGCATAGCACCAAAAACGCCTTTTTTACGGTGTTCGAGATCTTTACTATTAACAGAACACCACTGATTAACAACCCTTAACCATCTCTTAAATATCAAATATTAATACCTGCATGTTCTTTTCTTTACACAATTCGAATTTTTATTCTACCAATGATACTACAGTTTTGTCATCCCTGAACTATTATAGCAAGCTCAGAATATAATGAATGCTACTAGTTGTAATAAAATATTTGTTTTATCTTGTAATTTGTTTTCCTTCATGCATCGATTTCTAATTAAATGTGAGAAATGCAATGCAATAAATTATTATTCTTTTAAATTTTCAGTTCCTAAGTTTTCACAGACCTGGCAGTATTAGATTGGCTACAACAGAGGAGCGAATGAACGAGTTTCGCTATCAAATGCAACGTCAAGGCTGGCATCCAGCTCCACAGAAGTTAATATCTCCTGATGAAATACTTCAACATTTTCCTTTACTAAATATGGAAGGTGTAAGTTTCTAGTATAAATTTTGAATTTCTGACATTCGTGACATACAGTTGCCAACTCTTCCAGTTTTCCATCATATATCTTAGTTTCACGGTTGATTGCTGAAGATCTTGGGTTTTAATTTTCTGCCATTACTAAAGAAAAGGTTTGCCAGCAATAAATAGGATTTATTGAATTAACCGCTTAACGACCGCGCCCGAGATATCTCTGGAATAGATGCCGTTTCGATTTTCCCATGAACGAGTTGACTCGGGCTATGAAAATTTTACGGATATTTAATGCCATCGCCCGTAATATCGCGTGGCAATCGACACTCTGCCATGCACATGTTTTCTTAGCTGTAGGAGGGGTTCAAGCGTTTTTTGTGATTGGTTCCTCCATGACCCTAAGCTGAAGTCGGCGAACTGGCCGCATTATAAATGAACTGTAAATTCAGTTTTTCGATTAAGGGTAGAGTCTTAGACCCAGGCACCCTGATGCTACATCAAATTTTCTCTCGTGCAAATTTGTTTTGTTAGTCGATACAGATTACCAGATTATCATGCTGTTGCAGACTGTGATGTGCCGCTATGTGTTACACCATATTTCAGACTGAAGCCTACTTTACTTGATTTTTTATTACCTATCATTAGCTTGACTACAGGTTTGTATAACTTTTTTTTGGGGGGGGGGCTGCTTCATAGAAGCCCGAGTTAAGTTGGGTAATGTCATGAACTATAATAAATATCTATCTTGTTTTTTACCTTACAAAGCTACATCTAATCAGCTATATCTGTAGATAATAAAAATGTTATTGAAAAATCAGGAATTTTCGGCATAATTTTTAATATAAATTCGGTCATTAAGCGGTTAAAGAAACTTAAATTTTAATCACGAAAAATTAAATTTAAAATAAGCAAATTCCACTCCCCACTCCTAGTGATTTTCAGCACAGTTTTTATTAAATTTCAATTTTTCTGAATATTTTAATTTTTTATATTATAGACATATACAGAATATTTTCTGAAGATTCAAGCAACGTTTAATTAATTAATACTTGTATTTAATTTATTTTTACATCAGTATATGATTCATTACTAAGTTTATCCACATCATTCTAGATACAATGATTATTAAATTTGTTTTCATCGTACTTAAAAGCACTTTGATAAATAAGAGTTTTCTTTCTCTACTCAGACAGGAATTTCTCTGTATATTAAGAAAATTACAAATGAAATTAGCTAAAGAAAATTACAAATGAAATTAACCAAAGAAAATAAAATTTAGATTATCCAATTAGATATTAATAATATAAATTAAAAATTAAAATATATTGTTATGAAAAAAAAAAAAAAAAAAAAAAAAAAAAAAAAAAAAAAAAAAAAAAAAAAAAAAAAAAAAAGTACATACGGGTTGGTAATGGATTGAATGATATCTTGATAAAATTTATTTTCCCGAAAGAAACACTTTACATATCTGGAACTTTCACTAAAGTATTCTACAGTTCTTAGTAGAATCAGTTGTTACCACTTCAAAATTCTAAGAACATTAAACAAGAAACAATTAAAAAAGGCCTCAAATGCGAAACTCGCACAATTATCTCTTAGTGCTGTGATCTAAACTCTGAATTTAGCTCTGAACTAGATTATATTCTGAACTAGAACTAGTTCTGAACATATCTGAACTAGAACTAGATTATCTGAACTAACTTAATTATTAATATCTAATTGGATAATCTAAATTTTATTTTCTTTGGTTAATTTCAGCAGTGCTTTCTCAAGTCTTTTACAGTTTTTTCCCGACCGCAGAGAATTCTTCAGTACCTTCAATTTCTCGCAATTGCTGGAAGGCATACGCTGTTACAGTTGTGTACAGTTACATAGGGATCGGACGAAAATGTCGCCAAATAATCACCATGTTAGGCGACTTTTGATGATTTCCCGTCAAGTTTTAGCGACAAATATTAGTCGCCAAAACCATCCCCAACTTGGCTGTCGAGGTGACCATTTACGTCAATGTTAACTGGAATTTGCTTCTGTAACCTTATTTTTTTTTAACGAAACTTCTCTCTGTTGAGGCCTTTCAAGTTACATTATACAAGAGATGCTACAATTTTACATATAATTTCAATAAAATTATTTACACAAAATTCGTAGCCAATATTTTATGATAAGAATCATATTGTAAATAGTTAACCTGGACCATGTATTATAAATTCAATTAACTCGGAGTATTTTGAAATGGTTGTCACCTAGCTGCACTAAAACCTCCCGGTTGTCATATTTCAAGGATGGCAATATGATGACAGTTTGATATATCAAAAAGCATTCTACTGTCGCATAATACCATGTTTTAAAATAAAAAAAAGTCACTATTTTCGTATTTCTTTGATTCATCTAAAAAAGTAAATTTATATGCTCCACATTTTGTCTATTAATGATTTAAAGAATAAATGACATTAAAAGATTAGAAGAATTTAATTGTAAAAATCGATCACGTTCCGTATCTTTAAACGTAATCCAAAAAAATTGAGCTGGTAAGAAATCTTCGGTTTGTCAAATAGATAGTATTATGTTCGTTTTGTTATTCTGTCAATCTTGTAATATATTTTTCTTTTGAGATTTGGCAGATGACACGTTTAGGTCGCTAACGAAACAAATTCGGTATATTTTTGTTTACAACTGTTAGTCTACGGTCATTTTTAACCTGAAGTGCAAAAATAAACATTTTCGTTATATTTTACTTTTTTATTTTCATGAAGGCAAGAAAGCGGCTGAGGCTCACCAAAAGATGTGTGAAATTTATGGTTTTGATTGCTTAATAGAATGCATGTGTCAGAAGAGGTTTAAAAGATTTCATTCTGGAGATTTTTTACTTGAAGGTGACCAACGTTCTGGTCGACCTCCTGAAATTGATGATGAAAAAATTCATAATTGAATCGAATCATCGTATAACTGCGCGAAAGTCATAATTGAATCGAATCATCATGCGAGAGCTTGCAAAAATGTTAAATATATCACACACAACAATCGAAAATCACATAAGATATCCTGGACTCGTTAAGAAACCTGATATTAGGCTTCTGCATTAATTAAATTTTGCAATACGCATTTCAAATGTACTGCAATCGACCATTTTCTGAAACGTATCATTGGTGATGAAAAATGGATTGTCTACAAGTAAGATTAATCGAAAAAAAGTGGTCATAGTCCAAGCATGATGAATCAGCACAAATCGTATCGAAAGTTAAATTGCATCAGAAAAAGACCATGCTGTCAATTTGGCGGGAATCGAAAAGTGTTGTGTATTTTGAGCTGCATTCCAAGTTATCAGACGTTTATTTCCAACAATTTCCACATCAACTCAGGCGTTTATTTCCAACAACTTATGATACTGGAGAAAGTAATCAAAGAGAAAAGGCCAATAACTGGCAAATAACTAAGGAACTGTGTCCCATCACGACAGTGCGAGGCTTCACACATAAGCAAACACGTACGGAATTATTGGAGCTGGGCCTTGGGAAGTGATATCCCCATCCTTGCACCATTGGATTGATATTCTTAAATGGTAAAAATTTCAGCAATAACGATGACCTCAAATCGCACTTCGTTGAGTTTTTTACTGATAAAGACCAGAAGTTTTACGTGCGTAGAATCATGAAGTTACCAGAAAGATGTAAAAGGTCATCGAACAGAATGGAAGAGTAAGATAAAAATAACACGCCGAACAAGTATTAATGGGCAGCTCAAGGATGATGGTTCGGTAAAACCATCGAAACAAGTCGTGTGAAAATTTGCAAATATAAAGCTGATTTTTGTGGTTTCAATCCTATATTAATAGAATGGAAAATATTTGATTGATTGAAGCTTTTTTTTTTTTTTTTTTTTTTCCTCCTGTATAGAAAAATTTGATTTTTATTTCACAGTAGAAATAATTTCATTAATACTTCTGCATAATGCGCTTAATAGCGTAATTGATCAAGTCTAGGTAAAAAAATTGAGAGAAGCAAGATATGACGTAACTTCTAGTATATAGAAAAAAACTAAGTATGATAATTATTTATGTATTATTTTTATAACAATTTTCCTTACTTTCATTCAGAAGTCATCGTATCGAGTTTTCTAAAACTATTTACAACTTTTTCACATTGAAAATATCTTGCTTTCTATACGAATAGAAAATCCTCTTCAGTCAACTGAGTTGAAATGCTTTACGCATTACTTCAGAATACTCAGTATAAGCAGTGGCCAAACAGATAATAACTACCGAATGGAGGAATTTGTCTGCATAAATGATCCCGCTTCTGAACTTATATTTACTTTGCAGTTGCAAATATTATAATTTCTTTAACAACAGAGCAATCTGCTTTGAGTTAATAACTCAATTTCTTTTTATAATCTAGTTTCGAGCTTATTTTAGAGTTATAACTGCTTTTTCATTATAGCTGCTGTCGAGAAGACCGTGGTGTTTGTGAATCTGCCATTTGGTAAAAAGAGAGACCAATAATCTTAGTGAAATCTAAAGAGTGTAAATCTATTAAACATATATTTCCATTTGTAACTCGGATTAAATATTTCTATTTTCAAATAATGAGACTGAAATCTAGCTTCTGATCTTATTTATACTTTTACCTAAATGCCATCGTTTTCTTACATAAATGTCTAATACTAAAAATTATTCTTTCTTATTCCTAAAAGTTTAATATTTAAAGGTTTATGTGAGCATTCAGGTATTCGTAATGGATCATACGCGCGCAGAACCAATGATAGTTTAATAGAATTTATTTTCCCAAAAGAAATACTTTATAATTCTGGATAAAGTACACGTACAGCTCTTCTCAATATAACAGACCACAATCAATAGTTAACACCTCAAACTATTGAGAATATTAAACACAATGCAGTGTAAAGCGCATCTAAAGAGCAAAGCTTGCACGGAGATCTCTCAATACTCCGAAGTCTACTGCGAACTAAAAAACTGAAAACTGATGCTGTCTCCAGGTTTATGTAGTTTTAACCCGGCCATCGAGGAATTACCACTACCATTGACATCTCAAAATTACTGGCATATAAAGTTACATATAACGGCCGGATAAAGTTACAGTTACATATAGGGATCAATTACAGGTATTCGGCTACAAAGCCATTCACAGTTATAGAGGGACCGGAACAAAATATCGCCAAGTTTGGTGTCTTCTGATGATTTATCGCCAAATTTGATGACAGAAATTAGTTGCCAAAAACATCGCCAATTTAGCGACCTCAGTGTTAAATATACGTGCCCCTGTAATCCCATTTTTCCGACAAAGCTTCCCATTTCTTCAGACATTTCATGTTACATTATACAACATTCATAACAATGTAAATAATTTTGGAGACACTAATGTGAATTTAGCAGGGATATTTCTAATAATTGTGAATAAATTTCAGTGCAAATTATCCTATATAACAAAGGCTGTTAAAATTGAAAAGGAAAATTTAGACTATTTAACATAAATTTATTTGCCTCTCTTTTTTTAGATTTTAGGCGGCCTTTATAATCCAGCAGATGGTCACATTGATCCGTATTCTTTGACAATGGCTTATGCAAGTGGGGCAAGGAAATATGGAGCAAATATACACACCAACTGCGCTGTGACCAATCTCAGAAATCGCTCTGACGGTGGCTGGTATGTGGAAACATCTCGAGGAACAATCAGTGCTAAACGTATTATCAATGCATCAGGTATATGGTGGGTTTCACTGCTTTGACAATATTTCATTATCATTAATACCGAGTACAGTTCATTGAAAGGAAAATAACTCTGATAAAAGTGAATAATAATGGAACTATAACTCAGAAAAATGTAAAAATTTTACGATATTTAACATTTGTTTTGTAAATTAAGAAGGGGAAAAAAGTCATATGCAAAATCATAATCATGGTTCTATTTATTTTCTTTTTCCAAATACGTTAAGCAAATGAGTGTTCTAGGCACTGAGGTATTTTCTAATAATTCTGTTTTATCTTTCGCTGAATGAAATGATGTCTTCCTTTTAAATGTTTTGGTATTATGACACGTAATTTTTTTTAATATACTGACCAATGGCGTGCTGTAGCTTTCTCCAAAGAGATTAGGTATAGGTATGAAGAAAATTTGTAATTTGAATGCAAATACTAATGAGCATAATAATGTATAATTTGTTATGATAAATTTGTGAAAATCAAACGAGGTGGGGAAAATCAGTATGATCATGCTGAATAAATAAATATATATGTTTTTAATTTGATGGATGTCATAAAAATAAAGAGTTACAAACTTGTTGAGACTCACTTGCACCGCAATAAAAGAGACCAGCAAAACAGATTATTACTCAGTACAATGGCGTAGCAAGGAAGACACCTGCCTCCCCGGGGGCCAAATTTATGCACGAAATTTTAGAAACAAATGTTTCTCATTCTGGAAAACAGGAGAGTGGGCTTATAATCTATAAGGTATTTCTCCCGCCTTCTTAGAATGCCTTCGTAGTGTAACGGTCAGCACGCTGGATGCGTATCCCAGAGGTCCGTGGTTCGATTTCCGGCGAGAGCGTTACACATTTTTCAGCTTTCCTGCTTTAAAAAGCTCCTAATGTCTCTACAGTGGCGCCCGAACTAAAACGAATATCTCAATCAAATTAGCTAAAGATGTATTCGACGAAATGATGCGTTAATGCTATGAGTGTAATTTTTTTCTTTCCGGAGGCTTGTCATGGACACTATATTTGTGTCTCCATTCCTGGTCAGAATCTTTACGAGCTTCAACACTGCTGTGATTGCTGTCGACCTAACGACACATGTGCATTACGAAATGCATTATGGCATAGATCTCTCTCTCGCATAGAGGTAATTACGAAATGCATTATGGCATAGATCTCTCTCTCGCATAGAGGTAATGCATTATCGCATAGATCAGGTCATTTCTGTACGGATCGGCAGAAAATTTTGTTGAGATTGTCTATCTTTCAATGTAGTAAAATTTGGTATCGGTTGCTTAGTTCATTTGTCAAGAGTTTTAAGTTCTAGGAAATTATGAATAACTTTGTATTATTACCTGATTAGCAGATGTGAATAAAAATATATAACAGATTGAAAAATCAGAACAAAAATTTAATCTAAGAAATACTAGCGCTTTCTTAAAAGAAAATTTAAATAACTTTCTCTTAATGAAGCAAAGCGTTTTGCTTGAAGACTTAAAATGAAACAGCTGAAAATTTTTGGACTTCCGTTATATACGTGATAATTAGAAAACACGCTCCATCTTTAAATGCAAATATATTTTATATATTTTTACTCATTATATTTACATGAATATTATGTAGCATCAAGAGTTTTGGTATACATACGTTATGTAGGGAGGAGAAGTATTTGCAGTCTAAAATTACTGCTTCTTTTTTTAAATGAATTTGCACGTTACTGATTAAAAAAAAAAAAAAAAAGAAGAAGAAGAAGAAAGAAAGAAAGAAAAAGAAAAGTTAAAAAAAGATATACTTGAAAGTTTTTAATTTTATATTACGTTTAAAGGGGCGTTTTCTTCATTTACAAATACATACGCGTTTCGAGAGCATTTAGGCTAACGCCTCTTTGGGCTAAGAATATTTAAAAACAGCATATCTTTAGATTTTCCGATAGGCAATCTCACGTGATAGAGGTAAATTGTTTGTTTGTTTGTTTGTTTTTGTTTTTTCTCATATAGTGTTGCCGTTGCTCGCTTTGAAATCGTTGAGTTTGTTAATCAAAAATTCGTTAAAGTTTTACGAAATATGAAATCGACAATAAAACAAATTCGGTCTTCCAGGCGTCCATATGCGGGTGGAGGACTACGTTTTTCAGAATTTGGTGACTCAAATACCGTTTTTTTTTTTTACAATGCCAGAAACATACATTCATGCAGATTCGTCATTATTTGATTTCTTTAAATATAATACAGGGCGATAATATTTGGTGGCAACAATTTGAAAAGTGATACAGCCGTTTATAGTGATTCGACGCAAAATTGTGTATCAAGACTAATAGCCCTTATGAAGTAACGTCCCCTTGGGCTAAAAAATTAAATCTGAAAGGTTTATAGACTTTTAAGATCGCCTAAAAAGGATTTGTTAAGGTTCCTTGCGCTTCTGCTCAGCATACAGGATACCATTCTGCTCTTAGAATTACTCCTGCTAATCCATTTCTTTCTGTCATTTAGCTTTATTATTAAGCATTCTTTTTTTGCATTTACAGTACACGGAATTAAAAAACAAAATTACATAAATATGAAAAGCAGCATAGCAGCATAATTATGGGTTGCAAAATTTTTCTTTTGTCTTTTTATTATTAACGTTTTGAATGTTAACTTTATTTATTAAATACCATGTTCTTCGCACTTGCGCCACATAAAATTAAATTCAATAGCAAAATCACAACATATTTAAAACCAGCATATCTTTAGAACTTCCGATATATAATCTCGCGCGCTGGAGATAAAAATGTTTTATTCCGTACAGTGTTGCCTCTGCTTGCTTTCAAATCGTCGAGTCTGTTAATCAAAAATTCATTAAAGTCTTACAAAATATGAAATATAAAATTCGAAATTCAAAACTTAGACTTTCGAGTGCCCATGTTCGGGTGGAGGACTACGTTATTCAAAATTTGATTGCTCTAGATACCGTCGTTTCTTCACAATGCGAGGAAGATGCATACACACATGCAGATTCTTCATTATTTATTTCTTTAAATATAATACAGGGTGATAATATTTGGTAGCATTAATTTGAAGAGTGATTAGCCACCGCAAAGTCATATTTCGAGACTAGAGCCCTCTTAGGCTTTAAAATAAAATAAACTTTTGTCGCATATTTAACCTTATGCTTTCTATCGTCGAGTTCGGCCTTCTTTTACTTCTTGATGTTGCTAAATGTGAGCATGATAAGAAAATAAATATCACCAAGGTCATAGGGGGAATAATCTCAAGAAAGTGCTTTTTGAACTGATTCCATGATACGTACTCAAAGAAAGATATCGTAAAAGAATAGGATGTTAAAATTCGCGTTTATTTTCATAAAACAAAAAGTCTACTCCGTTGCAATGATTTATTGGGTTTAGATAATCATTTCGCAATTTAAAGAGGATCGCTTTAGAGAATTTTGATAACTTGTTTTGTTATTCACTGTTTTATCTTCGTTTGCAGAACAATTGCAATTTTAATGAAAAATTACGTAAATACTGTTTCAGGTTTTAATTCGCGTAATTGCAAGATATAATAATATTAAAACTCATCCATGCTTTTTGTTTTATAAAAAAACTCTGATTAGCGCAAAGATCTTAATATTTAGCACATCATTTCAGTTCAGAATTTCTTAAAGTGGACGGACAAGCGATAAAACCGCTGAACATTAGAGTTTGACATGGCTTCAAATCTGGCAGAAACAGGCTGGCTGCATGGGAGTGTCTATGTTTTTCCTCATGTGAGAATACAAACCAGTTTTCCTAAAAACGTTCTCCATGAAGGCATCCATTCCTTTAGGCAGATATAGCCCTCGCATGCTTTGCTATAATCTTAGTAAAGTACGATCTGACAATTGAATAAGAATTTAAATAAATTTTACATAGAGCGTCAGTTTGTACATTAAGCATAAGAATACGCCTTTAAGACGAAAAAAATACCAGAAGCACAGCGGTAAATTGCGTTAAAGGTGAAAAACATTTTAATATCAAAAAGGAAAAAAGTATGATTTCCACAAAGGAAAAAGTGATCTATATCTTTCGTTGTATCGTCATCAGGGGGTTTACTGTGTATTTGAAACGTTTTTAATTTTTACAAGAGTTCTTTTTAAAATATTTTGTGCGTTAAAATTTCTTAATTTTTTCTCATCCTTTTTGATTTTGAAGCCATCTCGATTTGTCATTTTTACATTTAGTTTTTACGAGATAGCTTTTACTATTTTAGTATTGTTCGTAGTTGTTACATGATTTTACATTTTTGCTAAGGAACTATAGAGTCAAATGTATTTTTTAACATTAGCTTTTAAACATTCCTCTTAGTTATAAAATTAAAAAAAAAATTTGCAGCTCAATGCGCAAAATTCTTGACCACTAAGGTCTCTCTAATTCACGTTGTCTTGCTACTTTCATATATATAATTGGTCTTTTTTCGTTTGTTCTTACAACCTTACTTATAATTATATATATATATATATATATATATATATATATAAGCAACAGCTCCTGGTAACTTTTAGGCGAGCTTACTACAATTTCTAACTTACTATATATATATATGTGTGTAATAGATTCTGTAGTAGAACGCGGGTGGTTGTATCCACAATGAACAGCTAGAATTTCGACGCCATAGAATGCTGAAACGCCGATCCACGAGGAATAAGAAATTTGGCAGTCAAGGTATATTTAATTTAACTTTTATTTCAGTAAAAAAAATGTTGTGGCCACAATCAGGTTGGCACATTAATTGTGCCTATTCGAAAAAGTTTACATTTTTTTATAACTTTGTAGCAAGAAAGCAGCAGCAGACAAACAGCAGTCCAGCTAAGCCAAAGAACGTCTATGTATCTATACATATTCTTTGGCTAAGGCCAAAGCTGTGAACGCAAGTGCGTTTTGTTCAGAGTGAAATCTTAATTCAGACTGATTTAGTTTTGGTTCTCACTGCAATTTGATTGGATGGTTAATATTGCTGTAAAATTACTATTTGGCTGTTTGAGTTTTAATTTCATTTACATCATCAGAATTATGTAAGAGTCATATGACATATATTTTTCTCAATGAAATGACAAAATTTTGCAGTGCAAAATGACGCAGTGCAAATAGAGGTTACTATTTTTAGAATACAGAAGGGAATTAATTTTCTCTGCTAATTTAATCTTTTACATATTCTTTAATTTCTTACACATATATATATATATATGCTTACCCGGAGTGTAAGAGAAAAATATAGAAAGAATTTTAAGGAAGATTTTAAAAGGAACTATTCAGATTTAAAAGGTTTTGCAGAGACAATAATGAAGATTATAAATATGAACAAAGATTGAATTGAAATTCGGCACTAAGACTCAGTTTTTGGAATTTATATGTTTTTTCTTATATTTTTTTGGGGGGGGGCAGTCTCATTTTTTGATTATACGGCCGGGTTTGCCGGTTAGGAGGATTGGGGTTGTGCCCTTATAATAATAATAATAATAATAATAATAATAATAATAATATATGTGTGTGTGGTGTGATAATTCAATAGATGACTTGAAAATTAGAAGCTATCTCTTAACGATGAAATGCTATCTATAATTACTTGAAAAGGCTTTAATGCGTTAATTCCCACAATAATATAAAGGAGACAGACTTGACGAAAACAACATATTAATTTATTAGTGGACATCATTGATAAGCATAAACATGCTCGGTGCTTTTCGCACCCTCCACACTGTAATATAACGGATTACATTTTTAGAACAATGGACAAAGCAGTGCGATGGGAACACACACGTTACCAGCAGCAAGCGAAGGAAAGAAAAATGAACTGCCGAGTAGTAATAGGTAACAGGGATGTTTAAAGACATGATTCCTTTGCTTAAATTTTGAGAATAAGCTGACATAATTCAGATTAGTTTTCAGATATGACACCATTTCGATTCCAGAGAAGGGGGCGTATTCCAGGAAGGGAGCGTATACAAATTAAAGTTAGTAGTAATTTTTTAGTTTTTTTTTAATCGTCCATTCATATATATATATTATGTATAACGTATTTTCTCGCGCATTTCTAATAATAATAAGTAATTTTATCGTCCGAAAATCGAGACGAAAATATTATCTGAGTAATTTAATTTCCGAATAACGCGGAACATAACAAATGAAAAAACAGTCACGGATAAACTACTAGTAAATATCACAATATTGCTTCTTAAAAACAAAGCTACATTCCAATAAGAACACATGGTAGTATTAATACTACTTGACTTAATAGTTACATAAAGATCTTTGATTTATTCGAGTCTTTTATAGCTAAGTGCTTAAAACGCCAATATTTTTGCTTTGAAGTTGTAGAGTCATGAGGTTATTTCGAAGCAGGAGACGTGAAAAATGAGCAATGCTCTCGCCAAAATACGAACCTCGGACCTCTTGAATATGCGCCAAGCGTGTTGACCATTACACCACGAAGGCATGCTAAGAAGGCGGGAGAAATATTTCCCCTTTTAAAGAGCGACTTGGGATTAGGGGTCCCAATCGCCAAATCTTGGTGGTGGAGAATCATCATCCACTACTTTTTTTTTTTATTTCGGGCGCCACTGCAGAGTCATGAGGTTATTTCGGAGCAGATGATGTGAAAAATGAGCAATGCCTCGCCGGGACTCGAACCTCGGACCTTTCGAATACGCGCCGAGCGTGCTGACCATTACACCGCGAAGGCATGCTAAGAAGGCGTGAGAAATATCGTATAAAGTATGCATAAATAGGATCAGTACAAGTTACGCGGCACATTTTCGTATTATTTATGTATATATATTGAAATTTTATATTTATATTCCCGTTTTAAAATTACTTATATGCCCAAAAACTTGCACATAAACATAATGTAGTCCATATTCTCTCGAATAGAGTATTAATAAGCACATTTTTTGTTAGCATCTGAAACTGCTATCTCGACCATGAGTAGCTTAATTAATCTAGTCTCTCTTTCTTTTTTTCCCCTTCTCTCTCTTCTTCCTTTTACTTCTTTTTACGAAGTAAAGGAAGTATTTTAATCGCGAAAAATTCCGGGTGTCATATTTTAACGAAAATTTCCATTCTGACCTCTCCCGAATCCTTCTCGACGATTTTTTTTGCACGACATCTGTACCGAAGGACAAAATAAAAACGGATTATAAAAAGAATTTAAAAGGGTTTTTTTCCTTGAAGTCTGCATGTACGTAAGTATGTATCTCGCGTAACTCAAAAATAATTATTCGTAGAACGTTGAAATTTTATATATGGGACTGATATAACATCTAGACGTGGATCTTCCCTTTTTTATTGCAGCCAACTGCACTAAACATGTATATATATGTATATACCCACCCGCTTACCCGGCTCCATGAGCTGTGTTTCTTATTGTTATATCTTGATAAATTGTGCATTGTTTGCTTTAAAAACGATTAAATTAGATTGTTTGGGGTGGGTGCTTTTGTATATTTTAGCTTAAAAGTGCAGAAACCATGATATGTAGAAATATTAAATCACATTATAAGAGGATTCGCCTTAAAAAAGGGTTCATATGTTGCAGATGCATAATACAAGTACAACTAAACTTCTGTAAAGAACTATCGTATAACATGGTGACTGTATTAGTTATCAAACTCTAAATCAAAATTTTAATTTTCGAAATTATGCGTAGATATAATTTTATATATACTTTTGTTACATGTTTCACTAACTTAATAACAAATAATGTTAATCTGTAGAAAATGGTGAAATTATTATATCAGCCAGATCAAACTCATTCAGCTTTTAAAATGTCCATACTAGTAGCTAAACTTGCTCAGCACTGCTTCAATTTTATTTAATGAATTAGATGTACTCGAGCACTTACCTTGATAGTTTCTGACGAATTAGCAATGTGTTGCCTTGGCCAGAAGTAAAATACTTTTGACTTAAATGTGCCAGCGTTTTGCCATTCAGTAAAATCTATGACACTTTCTTATTTAATCTGGAAGGTTATTGAGTTATTATATTAAAAAAAAGCGCTTTAAAAACAGTTCAAGATTTTTTTCCTACTTTAAATATGATTGGTTTTTATTGTATTAAAATCATGAGATGTTTAATTAGAAATATTCAATATTTTGTTAAAAATTACACTTGCTGGACTCGTTAAAATCATTATATATATATTTTTTATGGTAATTATATTAGATGTGAGCGGTTGGTTTTTAAAGAAAAAATAAAGCGAATATAAAAATATGTGTGGCATCTCTAACAGTCTATCGAGAATTCTAAATATATGCTGTTTTTAAATACTTTTGTGACCTTGCTGTTGAACTGTTTTATGTGCGAAAGTCATGATATGTAATAAATAAAGTTAACCCATGAAAAATTAATAATAAAAATTTTTAAAAAAATTGTTAGCAATCTTACTAAGAAAACGGGATATCGATATGATGAACTGAGAAAAGATTGAAACTGATATACATATATATATATATATTAATGTATGCCAATATTTAACACTGCGTCCAGAATTCTAAACATATGCTGCTATGCAGCTTTTAAAAAAGTTTGTGATTTTGTTTTTAAATGTATGTGGCGTAAGTGTAAAGAAAACGATGCTTAGTCTCAGTTCGTAAAATCAAGATTCAACTCCATAAGCATAAACTTCACTTCTAAATGAAATTTTTATGTTACTAATGAATCATTATAACTATTAAACTGTGTGTCTTTTAGAAAAAATATATAGAATCTGACATTTTTAGGATTCTGGGCTCTTGAAATTGGTAAAATGAATGGCCTTGAATTACCTCTTGTACCTGTTCAGCATCAATTCGTGATTACGAAACCTATTAAAGAAGTTCAAGCATTAGAGGTAAGTAACAAACTGAAATATTCCTAATCTGCGGTTATAAGATCAAGGTTAATTTACAATTGCCTACATTAAAAATTAAATGACTAATGTTTTATCCAGAATCTCATATCTTCTCAGTGATAAAATATCTCAGTTATTATTGTTGTTCATTCAGTCATCAAGAAAGCAAGCAGCTGTTTGGGTAGGCACATTTCATCTTTTAATCGAAATTTTATTCATCATTGCTGAATGCTGTACTTATAAATACGCATCATGAAATGATGAAATTTTAAGGCTCTGAAAAATAATACAATTAAAGTAAAATCATTTTTTAAAAAAATACTTTCCAGCGTTTAAAGGTTAATTTTGTTACTCTCCTAAATTGCTAATGAATCAACCAAAATTTTATAACACACTAATCTTCATATTTATAAAATACATTTTAGTATCATAAATATTATAAGATTCTTAGCGGAATTAAGATTTCATTGTTAGTATGTCTTTTCTAATTTCTTTATTTAACCTAGAATTGGAAGACACCCCCAGTACTTCAAAATAAACGTTTCCATGAAATTCGGTATATCCACTTAAATTGACTGATGTTTTATTCACCGATCGTTAAGGGCTGCTCAGCAGTTATTTGTAAAGGCTTCCGTTCCTTACGTAAGCTAACTGGCCTTTGAGAACTGCACTAAAACATTCCATTATATATAAACTAATATGAGTAATTGTGAGTAATGCGGGTTCTCTATTCAAAAAAATTACACTCACACATCAAATTTCTGCGTTCCAACTATACTCTTGTACGTGGAGAACGGCGAACACAGAACAACGTATTCACACGACACCTACTTCCCTTACACATATTCCTATCTTTATTTACAATTATAACATTCATTTATCATAATTTAAAATTACTTTTATCTATTAATTTCACTTCTGCTATAAAATTTATTACAGGTATTCAGTTTCATAAATTATAAGTATTTTTACTCATTTTAACAATACTCAATATTCTACCATTTAATATTTGCAATATTAATCCTCAAAAACAACTTTCATACCATTTTGTGTACACATATTAAAAGTGATTTCATTCATGTTTCATACCTTACCGCATTCTCAAAATAATTCTGAAATTCTTATAAGTAAAAAAAATTAACAATACTTCAAAAAAAATATTAATTACAGTAAAATTTAGTAGCGTTTTCTATGTGAAATACCGTATAAGACGCACCCTTATTTAGACGGCCACACACAAGGAAAAACAGTTTTCAATAGCGTGGTTTCTTTTAGTGCTCACCTTTCGTAAAACCAATAAACTTATTGAATGCAATTACCTTCAACATATAAGACTGTGTCCTTCACGTATAAGACGCAGGTAACTTTTTTGGGACCAAATTTAGGAAAAAAAGTGCGTCTTATATACCGTCAAATACGGTAATTAAAAAATCTTAAAATTTGTTAATTTATTAAACAGAATTATTAAAAATTGAATTTCTGAATTGAAATATTTTTTATATAACAGTGATTAATTCTTCAATTTAAATTTTCAAATAGCATTAATTAACAAATAACAATTCCGATACACAATCGAGATTTGAAGAGATGGTTGATTAAGTATGTACACACTGCAATGAAGTTGAAAATAATAACACTTGTAGTTACAGATTGTCAAATTTAGTAACTTTGCACAGATGAATTTTCTATTGCTGTACCCGAACTTATGAAGTCCTGTACGACTTGATGTAATAATACAGAAAATGCCGCAGATAGATATTGAAGCATACATAGACGATCCATAATGAAGGAAACTTGAAATTTCCTAGATCCAAAAAGAGGTAGTCATATCAGATTTAAATAATATTCCTCTTATTCCAGCTAAACATTTGCTGTCATAGATAGCATGGCACTCTAAACATACCTGTTTTAAAACATTTATATTTTTTAGAGATTTCGGTAAGAAGAGAAGCAGCAATTTGGATCGGCCGAGGAGCAGAAGCGAGGTGTTAGGTTCAAAACAAAATCTTAATTCGGAATATGGATTAGTTTCGATTTTGATATCATTTGATTGGCTAATTAATAAAGCTCTAAAAATTGGCTAAAAGTTTATGTAAGTTGTGTTCGTCAGAGTGTTATGTAAAATTCGTATGACGTTGATTAATCTAGAAATGATGCAGTCCAGAAAAATTTTATTATAAACAATTACTGTTATTAGAATAGAAAGGAGAAATACCTAAATTAAATTGAAGAATTAAGAGGCTACTGCAAAATTTAGTTAGAAGTTTTCTTTCAGATTTTTCATCTTACATATGATATCGTTGCAGTAGGCAGAGAGCAGAGCAGCAGTTATCTAGTAGTTAGGCTGAGTAGTCAAAGTAGAGGCTGAGTAGTCAAAGTTAGGCTGAGTAACGTTGTGTTCAGGACGAAGTCTTATTTCAGAATGGTTTAGTTTCAATTCCGATATCATTTGATTGATTAATTAATAAAACTCTCAAAATGTTGTTGCTTGAAGGCTTGTGTAAGTTGTTTTCGTCAGAGCGTTATTCAATCATGTGGATATGCTCCATGTGGATACAAGATAATCTTTTACAATTATATGGAAAATTTGTTCAGACAATAACTTTTATACTTTATGACTGCAATCATAAACAGCCTTATCATGTGGAAGTGGGTTTTTACTCCTATCACCCACCTTTTATGCAATATTAGTAAAACATGTATTTATGTTAAAAAAATTGTGATAGAAATATGCCTTATCTCGATCTGTGATTTTTACGCAAATTATAAAAGGGAAAATGGGAAATTGTAAATGGGAGTTTCTGACAAGGAAGAGGGGTAAGATGTAAGTTGAAACGGCACGATTTTGAGAATAGAATAAAATGGAAAATGATGAATCGTTTCTAAAAGCACTGAACAATTTCAGACTGACTGATATTATTGGAACAAGGAAAAACGCATTGTGTGTGATGAAAAAATATGTAATCTGCTGCACCCTCGAAATGATTCAGCCGAATAAATGTAATTACATAGTTCACTGACTTCCTCGAACGGGACTGAATATACATTGACTTTCAAAAGTTAAGCAACGCAAATTAGAAATCTTCTATATTGAATATGCGGACTGACAAACACAGCAGATGCAAATCGCTGAATGTAATTATCGTATGTTGCAGACAACTGACTGTCCGAGTAGTTTTCAGCATTCTGAAAGGTTTTGAGAAGGTTTATTTAAATGTTGATACGAACGTGTTTAAAACTTTCATACGACAAATTATTGTGATATTTTTGTTTCTATGGCTAAAATGACGAATGGCAGATAGTGAATGCTGGTGTGCTTTCGGACGCGTTGAAGGAGGACAGTCAATCAAAGAAACCTCTCTTTTCTTTGGCATTGATCATTTAGTAATTTTTTGAATGTGGAAACAATTCCAAACAAGTCAAAAAGTTATCCGTAGCGTTGGTTCCGTTTGGCCAAGAGTTACCACCCTTCTGAAGATTGGTATATTTCTACAGCAGCCAAGCGAAATCGACGAGCCACCTTTACAGCTGTTACGTTGTTGGTAGTAGTGTCATTTGATAAGACAATATCTCCAAGTACTGTGTGCCAAAGGTTTCACATGGAGGGACTGCACGCCCAAGTATCAACTGTTCGTGTTCCACTAACCACCTAGTCCAGAGGGGCAAGATTAAAGTGGCGTCACTAACATCTTAGTTGCACTGTCGCAGATCGGCGCAACGTCCTGTTTACGGACGAGACCAAATTTGTCCTGAAATCAGGTGATCGGCGTGTAAGGGTCTGAAAAGAACGAGATACACTGGATCAGGTCTAGAACATCATTGAAAATAGGTCGCAGCATGGTGTAGGCTGAAATTTCAGTATTTCACCCAGCTACACATCTGCTGAAGGTTCTTTGCGACGGCTGTGCGGTATCAGAATAAAGCCGTGCTGCCCACTGTGAGGCTTTGCGCTGCAGCAATTGGTCCTGATTTCCGTTTTTTGGATGATAATGCTCGGTTTTTTCGAGCCAACTTCGCTAACGTGTACCTGAAGATTGAGGGTAAACTATTGTTGTTGTATATGGAGTGAGCGCCGTATTCTCCCGATCTTAATCCTATGAAGAATCTTTGAGGTTTCTCGGGCGTGCTGTCTCTACACATTTACTTCCTCCAGCCAATTTCAGAAAGTTCGAAACTGTCCTAATGGAAGAATACCCATTTCTAGCTTCTGCCATGATTGATCACCTCATTGAAAGTATAACCAATCGTTTTAGTATAACCAAGTTTCTTTTAAGGCTCGGGTGGTCCGTCATACAAACCTTATTAATGAAAATTTTATTTGTTTGTTTACCTCAATTTCTTATTGACACAAATATGACGTCATCATTTAATTATGAAAATAAATATTGTTTTAATTTTTGGACATAATGGTTGATTCCCTTCATGCATAAACATATTTTATACATTCATATGCGATTTGGTGTTAATCAAAGCTTTACGTTTTCATTTTTGTTGATTTTAGTGTCGCTTGCTCAACTTTTGGAAGCCATTGTAATTTCATATGTTATATCAATATTGCACAATATAATTTCATACGCATTAATTACTACTGAACATCATTACTGTGTAATTACTATTATCAATGTTTATACCAGATTATGTGGTGGGTAACTGTATGTATATGGGTAACATAACAAAACATTTCAACCAATATTGTATCAATCACATAACATAGGAGATGAGTAGTTATCATAAGCGTAACATAAAATAATTAAACAATCTACAATTCAGGAGTTGTCGTTGTGTTTAAGCTACCCCTTTCTAGGACTTAGGTCCCAGTGTAAAGGAATTAATTTACAATAAATTACATAGGTTAGTAGGTATCAACATCAATCTAACGTTTATTAAGGATAAAATAGTATGAATAATTTACATTTTAACATAAGGTGGCGACTAGTCAGCCCTATATCTGAAGAAACAACTGAAGTTACATACCTTTCTTACAAATTTAACAATTAAAAAAAAAAAAAAAAATAGAACTTGAACTACAGATCAAAACTGAAATAATAAGTAAAACTTAAGCTTGAAAACTAATAGCGATTAATACATAACACATGGCTACCGTACGGCAGATGAAGAAAATATCAGAAAATGACATGAAATGAAAATTTCTAAAAGTTTTCCGTTATAAGCTTTAAATCATTTCAATACGTGAAGACATTAATTACATCTCCTTGAAATGGAGAACCTGTAGAAACGCATTCTGCGTTGGATATCAATGAACTTCAGCCTACTGGCATGAAATGAAATCTCACAAACTACTCAAAACGTCAAAGTATGATGAAAGGTTTTAAGACCAATTTTATATGGTAGCTGCTTGTAGTACTTGTAGTACTCAAATTTCTAGAAATCTAAAACTTGTAGTACTCAAATTTTGTAAATACTTACATATGTTGCTTTATACCTAAGTAGAAGAAATCTGCTTAGAATTTTTTAATTATTCATCAGTTAAAGAAATTGACATCAGTCAATTATATGATTATGAATTAATGCAAATAGTCTTATTTCTAGACTCCAAATTACCTTTTTTAATATTAATTAAATGTAGTTTCTCTGAAATTAAGGAAATTAAGGTTTTATTACCACGTGAGCCTTTTTCCAGAATACAAGTCACTAGTTTAGAGGGCGAAAAAAAAAATATTACTGCGGGGCAAATAATATCGAATTTAAGCTAATTATATTTTAGTATTTTGCAATTTGTATTATCGTTTTCTTAGTTGAAAAAATATATTAATAGCAAAAAAAAATATTTTATACAGAATCAATGTTAATATTTAAAATGATATCTAATAAAATTCAAATGCTTCTAGTCTTAATGTTTGTTCCTTTGTTTACACTTCTAGAACGAACCTCCGGTTTTAAGGCATCTGGAAGGCTCATTTTATCTAAGAGCAGAACGTGGTGGCCTCTTAGTAGGGCCTTATGAGTACCCTGAGAAAATGAATGTCATCGAAGACTGGGCAATAAATGGTGTACCACAAGGTATGTATGCTCAAATTAAGAAAAAAAAAATCCTTCCTGGAAATTTTAATTTCACAGCGCATCATGCAAAGATAATAAGCGTTTTGGTTTTAAATTGGAAAGTAATTTAAATTACTTTAAAATAAATATAATTTTACAGTTTTTCATCTGAACAAACATCTCTACCATTACATTTCGAGACATATACAGTTATGCCCTCATATTCGTGGAATAAACGGAGAGTTGCAGATTAAAACCGAGATGGAGTTTAAAAAGATACCCCTAATATAATACTGTGCTAAATTAAGTAATCTACTCCATGCAGTAAATGTTCCAAACCTTACTGCGGTTACATTATAGATATTCTTGGGCTTTTGAGAGCGGGAAGCTGAATAAATGAACCGAGTCTTCGCCGGAATTTTAACCACAGATTCTTTTCCACTTGGCAGTTGAGCCAAAGAATATGTATATAGATGTTCTTTGGTTGAGCTGTGTAACCTGTTACATCAAAACAACATGTGCAAAGAAATGCGATAATTGCTTACATTGAAAAACCAAGGGTTATACTGAACACTGTAAAGCGGAAATACTTGAATAATGTACATAAATATGTAAGGTTTAATTTAAAAACTGTGCACGGTAGGTATTACTAGCATTAGATAAAATTAAACTAAATTGCACCGTGTTCTGCACTGTATATTTGTAATGTTCTTTCTCTGCGTGCCTGTCACACATGTTAAAATAATGGATTCTGACATTTTAGCCTGATTCTCAGATGAACGAAAGCTATGGTGAAATTTCATGTGCTGTCCATCGCCCTCAGACAATCGCGTCTGAAACTAACCTGTATTTCTCAGAGAAATGAGCTTCGGTATTTAACATCACCTCTCTAAGGTTATCCTCAAAAGATCGAAATTTTCTGGAAGCGTCGGTGGTCGTTTTTGAAAGGGTTCACTACTATGCTTTTTCCATCAGCTCTAAACCCATCAACAGCCCAGCAATAAAGTCGCTGGACACTAGTAATTTGACCCGGGTCTGAATCCCGGCGAACAGTTTAACTATATGGGAGTTTTCATGAATCTTCACGAATGCATCCTTTCCCATAAACAGCTATCCTTTTGAGTTGCTTCCATCAGCCCTACAGGAGCAATGAAACAGCGATCCGAATTCTTGCAGGCATATTTGTGCTCAGCTTGAGACTGTCACTAGAAACAGCGCTGGGCTCATTTCATATACTTTATCTCACAGGGTTACGACGTGTACTCGCATTGTGTTTAAACCGTTTACTTAATCGTAAATTCGAGCTTAAAATTTCCTGCATTGTGAGAACTGAAGACTACTGACGCATCGCGTATTCTTGGATACGTGAGTTTTGATTTTAATCCGTAACACCGAATTTACGAAACGGAATTTTGTAATGATTTCCTTCTCGTAATTTTAAAACTCATAGTTTGAATGTATATCTCCAAAAACGTCATTCACAATTACTGTTTCTCTAATATTTTATAAATATTTATTAGCCCAAAAGGGTAGTTGCCCAGGACTACTAATTTCGTTTTGGCATTTTGTGCTGGTTCACTATAAACGGCGTTTCATTTTTCAAATTGTTGCCACCAAATATTAGAGCCGTGCATGTATTAAAGAATTAAATAATAAGAATCGACCAGGAATGTAGATATTTTCTCGCCTGTGATAAACAATGGTATCTAGAGACAATCAAATCGTCCTAACATATCTTTCATCGAAGTGCCATCTGGAAGCCCGTTTTGTTTTATTATCATTTTATATGTTAAAGGTTTAACGAATTTTTTGATTAACAACTCACGAATTCAAAGCGGCATGACACATTGTACGGGGCGGGGAAATCACCTCCACCGAGCGAGACTGTGTATCGGAAATTCTAAAGATATGCTTTTTTTAAATTGCTTTGCGATGTTGCTGTTGAATTGAATTTTATGATTTAAGTGCGAAGAACATAATATTTAATAAAGAAACACAAAAAGAAAAAAAGTTAAAAAAACGCCTCTTTGGGGGTAATAAAAATCTGAAAGCTTTCAGATTTATGTGTATTTTCGTATTTCTTTATTGTTATATTTTACATTTACTTCTGTTCAGTGAATAATCTGCTGCTTTATTGAGAAAGTAGTCTGAGTTTAAGAAAATATGCTTCCTACCATAAGAAGAGAGTTCTAATTTCAATTTAATATCGAAATATATCATATAACAGTTACATATTTTAGTCTGTTATTTGTATAGATGTCAAAAATGGCATTTTGTTAATTTTTTATTGTAATTTACCATTTTAAACCTTTTCAAATTAGTTTCTTTTTTAATGATTGTATTGAAATGATCTATTTAATTTTCTCTTCCTATTGTGAAAACAGGTTTTGGTAAAGAACTATTTCAGCCTGATTTGGACAGACTTACAGATCATTTGGAAGTCGCAATGAATTTGGTCCCTCTTCTGCGAAATGCTGATATTCAGACAGTTGTAAATGGACCAATAATGTATACACCAGATTTATTACCTATGTTGGGACCATATTATGGCTTGCCAAATATGTGGATGGCTGTCGGATTTAGGTAAAATATTTTATCAGTAATTTAAATCATTAATAAGTTGGTATTAGTACATCATATTTTAGTGACTTGCTTTCTTTCACTTACAAATTTCACATGCCTCAAATTCAATATAATATGAAGGAATAAAATACCTTGCAATAAATAAGAATTAATAAGTTTCTCCTTTATCACAAATTATTCTGAAATTTAAGCATAACTCCTAAACTTGTAGGGTAGAAACCAGTTACCAGAATCTTGCTGGCAATATTTTGTGAGAAAACGATTGTTACCTTTGCCCAGGTATCGTTTTGAGATGTTATGTAATTGATGCCAATACCAAAGAGTTATAAGTTTTAGATAGGTTAATTATCTGGTGCTTCGTTACTTTGGAAACTTCTTCGCATTTCTTCAGCTCATTTCATATTGCTCCACATTCAGCACTTTGGAAAATTCTACCGGCAAGTGTTGTTATTCCATGACTCTACCTCTAGAAAACGGAGATTTCTCCTTAAAAACTATGAAATTGTAATGATTCTACTGCTAAGAGGTCATCATTATGTTGATAATTATCTCCTGCTTATCAATTACAATGCATCTTTTCATGGATTATCAAAAGGACTTGAAATGCCACGTATATGCTACAACTAATTTCATCTTTAAAGCTGGGATATGCTAATCTGATAAGCTTGTAGAGACATTAAGTATTTTGGAAGCAAAAGACTTGAAAAATGGGGTTTAGGGAAACCAATCGCCAAATTCTGGGTGTGGAGAATCATCATCCACCACCCTTTTAGTTCGGGCGCCACTGTAGAGACATTAGGTATTTCGGAAGCAGAAGATGTGAAAAAGAGCAACGCATTCGCCGGGAATCGAACCACGGACCTCTGGAATACGCGCCCAGCGTGCAGAACACTATACCACGAAGGCACGCTAAGAAGGTGGGAGAAATACCCTATAAGCTCATAAATAAAATTTTAATTTATGCATACACATCGGCTTAAGTTAGCAACTGATCTGCATTTATGATGTTCTATTTGCATTAGTCCTTTGATTTGTTAAGAACTTTGGTTAATTTTTGGACACCGGGATAGTTTTATAAAAACAGGTGTCTTATTTTACACATTAATTTATTTTCTCTATAAGGATCTATTTATTTTTAACTAAACAGTCATTTTATGTTCAATACCTTTACTGTCATTCTCGCTTTCTCTTTTCCTGCCAAAATGCAAATTTTAGTTCAAATGAGTTAGAAAAAGATAATATTTAAAGGAACGTTTCAGATCGTTTAATCAGAGCGTGTTCCGCCTGCTGAAGGCCAAGTTACTAGTTGAATCTCTTACATAACAGTCGATCTGCGGCGTTGCGTTATTTTTGCTGTTAGGCTTGTCACGCTGGTATTACAATTGAGCCAACTTGCACGTTTTTTATTCTGTATAGCTTTTGGCTAACTTACTTAATTTGAATTCATTATTTTTGAATTACGCCATAAATGATGACTGGTTTTGTAAATGCAAGAAGTGCCGTCTGTTAAATCATTGAGTTTAATAAAAGGGTCCTTTACACGCTTCTTATGTTTCTCTGTGTTCGTACTGAACACAACGATACATCGCTTAGCTTTCAGAGTGAGTCTCGTTGCACTTTATGCTTCCAAAGAAGATGAGACTACATCTTGATTAACTATTCCAATCCAAATTAAATACATAAACAAATAAAAAAATCTGAAAGGTTTCAGATTTTAAATTACGTCCAAAGGGGCGTTTTTTTAACGTTTTGTGTGTTACCTTTATTTATTAAATATCATGTTCTTCGCACTTAAACCATAAATTTTCAGTTCAAAGCAATGTCGCAAAATAATTTTAAATGAGCCTATCTTTAGAATTTGATAACAGTTCTGCGCGCTGGAGATAAAAAGGTTCACCCCCCCCCCGCGATTGTTGCCATTGCTCGCTTTCAAATCGTTCAGTTTTTTTCTCAAAAATTCGTTACAAATCTGAAATCGATAAAAACAAATCCAAATTTCAGATTGGGCTTCCGCATGCCATGTTCGCAGTAGGATTACGTCATTCAAAATTCGATGGCCAGGTCCGTTGTTTATCACAATGCGAGAAATATGTATACATTTATCAGATTTTCATTATTTAATTTCTTCAAATATATGCATACTCAACGTTTTGTACAACGTTTGAAAAGTGAAACGGACATTTATAGTGATTCAACGCAAAATCGCAAAACGAAAATAATAGTCTTTCAGGGACAAAGCCCCTTTGGACTAAAAAATCTTATATCTCATGAAAGCATATTATTCTCTTTATTCTTGCATTTAATAAATGCTGTCGATTCTAGCGTGTCATTCGATGAGTATTTTTGAAAAGATTAGAAATTTCCATTATTTTTGAGCTGAACTACGCGCAAAGAACGCTCCATTAGTAATTGCATATTCTAATGAGTTAGCCTTGTTGTATCTGTAATATTGGTACTCTTCCATTAATTAAGACACAATAACACGCCGAATAAATACTAATTCAGAAGGCAAACAACAAAAATCAGCGTTAATTTACAAAAATTTTCACAGGACTAGTTTCGATGGTTTTACCGAACCATCATCTTCAGCTGCAAAACCGCAAATGTCCATTGCGTTTGCAGCTGAAGACTGATGGTCGGTAAAACCCTCGAAACTAGTCCTGTGAAAATTTTGTAAATTAACGCTGATTTTGTTGTATCTGTAATATTGGTACTCTTCCATTAGTAAATTAATTTCAGAAAGGTATCTCAATATTTTTCCAAATAGTTTGGCTGGTAACAATTAATTAAATTAAAAAAATTTTCAAAATGGTATTTGTTGACTAATCATTTAAATTAAAAAAATTTTCAAAATGGTATTTGTTGACTAATCGTATTGATTGATGATCATATTTAGCGATGTTTCGCGATTTGACACCCAATCTTAAGATAGTGCTACTAATTGGAACATATTATATTTTTTATTCTTAATTGGAAAGCTTTGAATTCATTTATCATTAATGCATTTTATTTATTTATTTTTTTTAATCCATTTAAAATTGTTTCTATCAGATAGAATCGCATTCTTTTCTGACATTTTTATACACTGAGCTTCTAGTAGCAAGCTAGCACATAATCCAAGATGTAAAAATTTAAGTATCTTTTATAATTTATTTAGGATTTTTCTGAAAGGGAAAAAAGACTGGAAAACATAAGTTTTTTCGATTTTTTTTCCTCTATTCGTTATAACTGTTGTGTAAGTGATAATTTTAATTCAGTAATTAATTCAAAACTTAAAGTTGTATGCTGAGACTAAAATATTTGTAACTATGTATTTATTATAATAATAATTTTTGCCCCTCTCCTTAGTTACGGTATCATTCATTCTGGTGGAGCTGGAAAATACCTTGCTCATTGGATCGTAGATGGTGAACCCCCGTTTGATTTAAATGAAACTGATGCAAATCGATTTGGCAAATGGACAACAAGGTGAGACGCAATATTATTTTTTAAACAATAAATTTCATCTTACATCTGCAGGATATCCCTCACTTCATGGGCGAAACATTAAGGCTCGGTAAAACACATATAAAGAAGAAGCATTTTTTGTACAGCAGTGTGGGGTCAAAAATAAAAATAATAGGCAGAAAAACAGGAAATGTTGTGGAAAGTAAGAAATGCTCTTTATCTTCATAATATTACAGTAAGTGCTGTAACGTCTGATCATTAACAGTGATAAAGTCCTGGAAGCGTCGATTCAATGATCAGCGTGTATGGTAGCTGGTAGACGGCAGTGTCATAAGCCGTTACGCTGTAAATATTTGTGTAAAAGATGTTTAGAGCAGGCGATATTATAAGTTTGGTGATGTAGCTTAAAAAAAAGATAAATTCTGGGAAAGAAAAATATAGAATATGGAGGTTTATTTAGTTTGCATTATTAAATTTTCTGCAAAACCATTGTATTGAGTTTGAATATTAAATTTTCTAATTTATTAAATTTTCTGCAAAACCATTGTATTGAGTTTGAACACGCACTTCAAACTATTCTTTGCTGATAGAGAATTTTGTGCTTGATGAAGCAAAAACATGATATGGAAAATTTAGCACAGGGAAGATTTTTTACCACTTAGAATGCAGCTGATTATCCTCAGCGCGTATATTTCTGTCAGTTTTTGTAGCAGAGTACATTCACTCCGAGCTTCACTGCAAATGTACTTTTCACAGATGAGGCCACCTTTACGCTAGACGGAGTTTTTAATTTGCACAATTCTAATGTGTGGGCCACCTTTAACTCACATGATTCGCATGCTTTCTAGGAGCAATTCTTTGTTAATATGTGGGCGGGTATTGTAAATGTTTTTCTTACTAGCCCATACTTTTTACCACATCGACTCAACGCCACAACTTATCGAATCTTTCTGGAAGAGGTATTACCGTAATTACTTGATAATGTTCCAGTTGCTGTTTGAAATGCCATGTGGTTTCAGCACGATGGGGCTCCAACCCATTTGATTGAACGAAGTGGACCAATCACTTGGCTAGCACATTCATCAGATTTATCAAGTATTGACTTTTTCTCATGGAGACGTCTCAAGGCACTCACCTATGAGACTCAATCGCCTCTGATCAGTACCTTCATTGCAAAACTTTCAGTCGCTGCTGCAGCTGTTCGCGAAACACCTGGCATCTTTGAAAGGGTACGCCAGTCACTTGCTAGACATTACCAAGCTTGTATCAATGTTGCTGGTGGCACATTTGAGCACTTACTATAATATTATGGAAATAAAGAGTTTTTTTTCATTTCCTCAGCATGTCCTGTTTTTCTGCCCACAGTTTTCATCTCCTTCTCCACATTACTGTATAAAAAATGCATGCATACCTACCCTTAAAGTTTGGCCCATGAATTCAAGGACAACATGTATACAAAATTAATTTATAAACACAAAAATCTATAGATATTTAATATCTTCGGTATGTTATTTGTTTATACATATTTTTAACTGTGATAAATAATTATATATGTTAATATTTACATATTACGAACTTGGTGGAAAAATTTCAGTATTACATATCCTTCAATTCACAGCTTGTTTGCGTGTGACATTTTGAAATAAGAATAAATTTAAAAATAGCACATAATATTTCTTGTTTCAAACAAGCTGTTGCCAGAAATTTTTAATCCCAATTTATTTGCCTTTTTTAAAAAATTCTATAGCGAAATCATGCTAAAAATGTGTAAACATTTTCTGTAGAGTAACTATGAGGCAGTATATCTGATATCAAAAACTAGTTTATTGATTTGTATTGAATTTATCTTACTAGTTATTCTTATGCAGGGAATACGTGTTTTCAAAAGTGCGGGAAACATATGGCATGAATAATAGTTATACGTATCCTAAGGAAGAAAGATGGGCTGGAAGACCAACATCTCGTGTCTCTGGAGCTTACAAAAAGATGTTAGAAAGAGGAGCTGAAATGGGCTTTCATGCAGGTAATACTAATTTTCACTTTTTTTCAGATTTATACTTTAGATAAGGTATTCATTCAGCGTTCTGGGACTGGCAAAGACTAAATAAAAGTAATATTAATATGAAGCGTGTAACATTTATTTGAAATAAGCTTAATCTAAGTTTAGGTTCTGAAGCTTGTTTGACAAGTTTAAATACTATCTGGGAGCTTTTATTTGAGATCATATTTTTTTTTTTTTGATGCTTTTATAAAGGTTCCTCATCCTAAAGGTGCCGGTACCAGTCAAGTGAAAGACAGAAACCATGATAAGGGTGAACTGTATAAATGTACCCGCACTTTTATGCAAATCAAAAGCAACCATTATACGATGCGGGTATTTTCATACCGGAGTACCGCTGTACAAGGAATTTTTATTTGCTTTGCTAATCAGAGTACCAAGCAAATCGAATTCCCCGGGTAAAGATGAGGCACTTTTTAACGGTTGTTTTTTACAAGAAAGAAACTGATCGATATAAGGCTGCGGGCACCATTATGAAAGTTTTTGTCTTTCCTAACAATGACTGGCTTGCATAAAGATGCCAGCAACTATATGATAAGGCATTATTACGAATTGGTCATAATTTTTTTTCGTTAGCATTCAAAAAAAGGAATCAAGTAAAAAAATATCAGGTAACATCATTACTAGTAAAGATTTATCTGTGTAAGAAAGCCTTAGTTTTTAAGGCTAGGTTAATTGGGTACTTATGTATTATCGCCAACACCTTACTAGAAGTCGCCAAATTTTCAGAATGTGCCAAAACTGGCAACCATGCGCATAACCATTCTTCAGGCAAACATGCTCATAACAATCCTTCAGTCAAGTACTGTCGCCATTTTCGTATGCGTTATTATTGTGTCTTAAGTTCCAACGGTTTTTATAAACAAATAATAATACCTTTTTGCCTGAAACGTAATTTTAAAATATGCACGTGGGGAATTTCTTAGCAATGGAGAAACTGCGGTAAAATTTCTGCAGGAAAACAGATTTGACGCAAAACCTCTGATGGGAACAACGAGGAGACACGTTTGGTAGACAGCTGATGTTACCAGGCTATGCGTCATGCCGAGTCTTTGCAGTTCTCTGTTTTGTCAAGCAGACACCGATCGCTGCGTCCTTGGGGAGAAGGATAGCTCAAAAAAATTGCAGAAAGATTTGGAGAAGAATGTGTTTTATTTTTCATGTATCACGTAATCCTTGCTTAATAATTAAAATTTTTATTTTAAATTTCTAAAGTATTTTTTATCCATATGTTGATAAACGTCTGTTGCCTTATATATCAATATTTTGGAAATCTTTACCTTTTTAAAAAACATCGCTGAAACCGCCAATTTGTAACGATAAGTAATTTTTACCTTTTCATCAGTAAAAATCGTCGAATTGTGCCAAAGTGGCTGCATTAATATGTAAGTACTACTAATTCATTAATATTAAACATGCAAGGACATTCTGTATAAAGGAGGTGTGTTCTCTTCATGAAATCGAACTTCAAAAGGGTGCCATCGCAATTCTGCATAAGGATTCGCACTTTGGCGAGCGACGGGTAACTTGAAAGGGCCACCAATTTTTTTTTTTTTTTTTTTTTTTTTTTTTTTTTTTTCTCGTTACCCGCGCCGGCTAGACCAACCCAGTTTTTGCACTCAACTACTTTGCCTTTTTGTAAAGCTTTCAGATTGCTTCATACTACTTAGTTTTTTAAACCCTCTTTGGTCCTGCCCCAGTTTCTGAATTCCTATTACAATGCTGTCTTTTAAGTGACACTTTACTTCAAGGAATAGAAAATAGCCTGCAGGGGCAAAACGTTACCTCTCTCAATCCAATAAGTTTTGGGGCAATATTTTCTTTATAGAAAAGGAAAGAAAAAAAGGGGGTTGCATATTTTAGTTCAGTCATTAAATCCACAACGACAGGTATCGCTTGCACAAAGTTCAGTGAATAATCGTATTCAATTTCTTTCCACAGATGCATAATATTTTAATAGAAATAATTTGAATCACTACCATAATCTTGCAGCTTTAGCATAGTCTGGTAATAAAGTTCAGTCCTAAAACCCTGTGAACGTATTATGTATGCATAACACAAAATACGATTTTCTGGGCCGCCCAACAGGGGCTAGTGATTAGTGATTCTGACTGCCGTACCGAAAGGACCGGTTTCGAATCCCGGAGAAGGCATGGATGTTTGTGAGTGTATAGTTTCTGGGCGTTATGGAGATGCTCTAAATATGCGGCGAGCCGAAAGTTCTCTCGAGAGACTGGTGGTAGAGTAAGAAGGGTTGGAGACCTTCGGATCCGTCCTTCTGGGGTGTTCTCCTTCAAAATTTCGGGGGCGGAACTAAGCAAAGCCGCACTCTCACCTGTATGGCGCCCAAGGCTCTTGTCAACGACAGGTGCAAGCTTGCCTCCTTGCCACGACGAATTTCGTGGGCTTTTGCTCTGATATTAGACAACTGATGCTACTCACAATAAGAAGTACAACAACAGCAATGATTTCTGGAGGGATTATTTGCTTCTTTTGATAGTAAGTAGCCGACGTATTTGCTGTATCATCTTCAAAGCATCTTACTTTCCATAAAGAGTAGTCATCTGTTATTATATTTCATTTTACGGACTGCTACTTCAACACTAGCTGTGCTCTGAGAATTAAATTTATGATTACAATAATTCTGGCAATACAGCAAACAAAAGATATGGCAAATTAGGCCAGAAGCCAGGTTTCTATAATTGATTGAAACCCAAAGTCGTATTGACAAGTACATAACTTTACGTAATCTCCCAAAAAAATATTTCAAGACTTCTATTCAACATTTTTCTTTTCTTTTGCTAATTAATTTTCATTAGCTGGTTTAAGAGGAAAGTACATTTTTGTATTCTCATTTTAAACTAGGTAATGAAGGCTTGTTAACAAAAGAGTATTACCAACAAGTGTTACAAAGAATAATGTTCAAGAACATCAAATAATTATTATTTTATTTAAAAATACTGCTTTTTCCTTTGTAGGATGGGAACAACCAGCATGGTTTGCTCTCGAAAATGATTGCAAAGGATATAAACCTAGTTTTGAAAGGACGAATTGGTTTAATGCTGTTGGAAGAGAATGTAATCTAGTGATGAATAAAGTGGGAGTGTTGGATTTAACACCTTTTGCTAAGATTGATGCCAAGGGGAAGGGCTGTAATGCTTTCTTGGATAAAATTCTCGCCAATAAACTTCCGAAGGTATGAAATTCGGTTATTGAGAATTATCTCTATATATTATCTTTGATGTTAATTTAATCCTTAAAAATTAAAAAGGAGTAAAATTATCTGTCTGCGAGGTATTTCTTAATCTTCTCAATGCCCATGAGAAATATAAGTGGTTTGAAAGGAAATTTGATTTGTAAGCTAGTTGTGTTAAGACAGAAATTTTTCGCAACTTCCAACTTTTTAGAATCCTTTTTAGTAGAAAAGTACATCATTATTGGTAAAGAATTATGCGATGACGTGTGTTCGCATCTTAAATTCTGAGATTACAATTTAAAACTCATTTTCCAAGTGCTATAAAATATTACGAATTATCATTGTTTCGTTGTCTTTTCTGTTGCGATTTTGAAACAAATCATCTGTCATTGAATGAAAGAGAAGATCTGATGGAAGTCACTAATGACACCAGACATAAAATGAAACTCCAAGCAGAAGGTATGAGTAATTTCTAGACATCATTACCAGTGAAAAGGGAATATAAGGAACTACACGATGTAATTCTGAAAATTAGAATTCAGTTTGCATTTACATGTCTGTGAAAGAAAAGGGTTTTCATTGCTAACTCTAAATCTATGTATATAAAAAAGTAAGTCTGTGTGTTTATTCTCTAATAACTTAGTCACTAGTATAGCTATCGCCACCACACTTTTCACAATTCTTTTCTGGGTCCTAGAAAAGGTCGATGTCCACTTTTTCCAAAAGTAAAACAGCTAAAACCAGAGATATTAATTTAAAACGCTAATTTTCGCCTTCATTTTTCTGAGTAGCAACGGTGATATATTAGCAACAATGGCTGTATGCCATTGCTTCTGATATAATGAGAGAGCATTAGCTTATTTTTCCATCGAAATTTTTATGTGGGTTTCATATCGCTCAAAATAATTTATTTTGCTCAAAATAATGATGTATTTGTTTTTATTTTGCTGACCCAAATGGCAATTCCATATGTCATATGAGTATATATCTATGATTACGTTGTCAGTTGTGGTACATGTTGAATATTACTTTGTTAGTTTGGCATTTTTATGCATTGCAATGACTCATTCCTTATGATGTGTAATGTGCTATTATACGAATTTTCAAATGATGTCATGTGTAAAATAATACATTACTCTCAATCTAACTTAATTGGAATTGGGTACTTCCGCTAGTAAATAAAGCCTAAAACAACATCGTGTGTGTGCCCATCTCAGGTTCAGGGCCGGCGCTAGAACCAGTGCAACCAGTACGGCCATACAGGGAAGCAGAATTTTATGGATGGCAAAATTTTTAGAATTTAGAAAAACACTAAACAGTAAATTTAGGGATGACAAAATTAACGTGGAGTCCTTGTGGGAGTAGATCATGCAATTTTCAAGAAGCATGCAATTTTCAACTCCGGGATGATTCTCGTAAGGAGATGGCGAGATGAAACTGCTCTTCCAGGAGCGTCCCATACATGCTGTATAGATTAATGTCGAGATATCTAGCTGATCAATCCATGCAAATATTCTCCACCATTCTCTCTAGGTAATCCTCCACCAGCTGAACCCTATATGGACGAGCGTTGTTGTCCATTTACAGGAGCCCAGAACCAACTGTACCCCTAAAAGTCTAACACAGGGCTCTACGATACCCTTTCTATGCTTCATAGAGGTCAGAGAGCTGTTGTTATATATATGAAGGGCTTTGCGACCGTCCAACATAATGCCTGCCCAAACAATTACAACTCCACCACCGTAATGATCCTTTTCGCTGATGAGAGAGGGATAGTATCGTGTTTCAGGTGCTCTTCAGATACAGGTACGACGAGAATCAGTGTCCAGGCATAATCTGGACTCATATGTAAAAATAACAGTGCTCCACTGAGGTCTGGTCCAAAGCGCATATTGTCTGCCAAGAGAGCGCTATCTAAAAGCGGATGGGACAGGTATGACCGGCGCGATCAACTTTCATAAAGATACCGAAACCCTTTAAAAACTAGACACTGTTCGCTAAGAGACGAGGCTGTTCCGACAAAAAGACGCAAAGGTGAACGGCATCCTTACGAAATTCAGTTCATATCACGAAGAATGCAAACTTCATCTACATTCTCAGACTCCAATATGAAGAGTTCCGTCTTGGCGAATATCACCGACTTGCGTAAAGGTACTAGCATCTTTATGACATGGCATCGTTGTGAAATCATTGGGTGGAGGTCCAGAAGATTCCCTGGGTTTATATTATGATATGAAGGATTAGATGCAGGAGAGATGCAAAATGAGCAATGCCCTGCCCAAAACTTGAACCACGGACCTCTCGAATATGCGTCGAGTGTGCTGACCGCTACACCACGAAAGCATGCTACGAAGGCAGGAGAAATATCTTATATACTTCCAGGTTTAAAGGGACTGGGGATTAGGGGACCCAATCGCCAAATCCTGGTGGTCGAGAGTCATCATCCATCACCTTTTTTAATTCAGGTGCAACTGTAGAGACATTATGTCTTTTTTTATGCGGGAGATCTGAAAAATGAGCTGTGCCCTCGCCGGGACTGGAACCATAGACCTCTTGAATACGCTTCGAGCGTGCTGATCACTACACCACGAAGGCATGCTAAGTAGGCGGGAGAAACAGCTTATTAGTATGTATACCATTAATTTATCTTCCCCCCTTTTCCTTCTAATTGTTTTTTTCTGTATGAATTCTACAATTATGATTAATGTTTCATCCGTTTTCAAACCATTCGATATAAATGACGAAGCGGCGCTATTACCACCAGCGTCTCGGAAAATTTCCCGATATCCCTGTCTTCCCTGTACAGCTTATCACCTGGTTTGAAAAATATGATAATAGCAATAAATTTCCATACACTCAAAATCCATTTAATGCCACTGCTCCATCTGAATTCCTGCTGCAGAAGAAGAAAATCTGATTCAGTTCTCTTATGGTAATGCGTTAAAAATTAAATTTAGCAGTATAGAATTAATTGAATTAAGTTATCGGTTACTGTGATAAAATTTAAGCATCATTCGAACACAGTATAGAAGAGGATCAGGGTGACTATTTAATTCTACGATTTGAGAAAATGTTGGGGCCACCAACAAGCATATGCATTCCACTAATTATTACAGTTAGGAAAATTGGTTCAATTACATTTTCTGTGATATAAAATAAATTTGATTTATTTTCATCGAAACCGTGCAAAAAATATTACGTATTTACATAGTGTATTTGTTAGGATTTGACACAGGGTGTCTTGCAAAAATATGTATTAAGGAAGCGCACCGAGAATCGAAAAAAATTGGAAACCACTAATTTAGTGCAAATTTCCTGCGTTATCACATGATATAAAACAGCCAATCACCGCGGAGGAATGTTAGCTCACCAACAATCAATGAGGTGCAGTTACAGGGTTCTCAGGCATGATGCCCTCTATCCCTACATCATCAAAGAATTAAAATTTTACAGCCAAGGATAGATTTCTCAAGTAGGTTAAATTTTTTATAAAAAAGAGATTACACAATTTTATAATGTCACTGCCTTCGGCAGGAAAATATGCAAACATTCGTTAGCATTAATAGGTGGGGCTGTAAATTTTATTTTGAATTTTGCGTCTAATAACAAGGGCGAGAATCAGTTTTGAAAAGATAGCAATCATAATTTTGAATAAATTAAACGGGGAGATTTCGTTGATCGATGATCTGTTCTGTAAACAACATGATAATGGAACCACTTTCGCAGGTCAATGACATCGCAAGCGGTTTGAGCCATGGAGGTAGGAAGTAAGATGGAGTATTATTATTTATTTTCTATATTTTCAACTGAAATATCATCATTAAAATTTTGTAATATAGTTTAGTTCTGCATAGTTTTTTTCCCTCTCATTGTAAACTAATTCTGTAAATTGAACTGTCATTTAAATTTTTTTTAAAAGTTAATTGTTTTCCATTGTTGAGGTAATGCTCATTCTCTTAATAAATATTGCATTGCTCATATTTTAAATTACAAGTCTAATTTTTCTTTTAAGGTTATGCAGATGTGTATAATGTAATTAGACAGGTGCTTATTTTTTCCTTAAAATGTGCTTGAAAAGTGCTTATTTTTTTAACTAAAATGTGGCTATGAACCCTGTTCAAAAGTGTTTGCCTTTTGAATTCGATGATGCTTTGGAATCCATGAGCAAAAATATCAAACAAAAAACACAAAAGTATTCGACAATAATTAATTGTGACTGATACAACGATCTTGAGATGGAAAGAACTAAATTTAAACAAGCGCAAAAGGGAGAAGCTAAGAACACGCTGAGATCACTGAAGGAAATTCCAAGCAAGTGTATTTTTTCGTTACTCCAGACCTTCCTTTCTCCCCCCCTAGCTTGTTCATGGAGGTAGGAAGTAAGATGGAGTCGCCTTAAACAAGTTTCTCCTGTACCCTGCTCTGAAGCACCGGCGAGCCCTACTTGGTGACCAAAACATTGGGTCATTTACCATTGAGTTCTATGGGATTTGACGTGTTCGGATGTAAATATTTTGTAATTACGTCGTAAATATACATATAAATGTACATATTTTCTTTTTCTACAACACTTCAGAGTCCTAAGTATGTGAAAACAACATATTTTTAAACAACATTTCATTCTGAACGGAATTAAATGCTATACTTTTCACAGGACAGTTTTCTCAGAATGGTTTAATTTGAATGAAATATTTTCACAAGTTTTCGTTAATTACATTAGAAAAAAAAAATTAAGGTAATTCGATTTTATTCGGTTAAGGTACAAAAATTAAGATCAAAGTTTATTGTATTATTAATATTAAAATTATGCATTATTTCTTTTCTATTTATAAACAGCCAATCACCGCGGAGGAATGTTAGCTCACCAACAATCAATGAGGTGCAGTTACAGGGTTCTCAGGCATGATGCCTCTATCCCTACATCATCAAAGAATTAAAATTTTACAGCCAAGGATAGATTTCTCAAGTAGGTTAAATTTTTTATAAAAAAGAGATTACAC